TTTTTAAAAAAAAAAAATTTTTTTTAATGTATTTTAGTACGGGGTCTACAGGGTCTCACTACGTAGATCGGACTCCTAGTGATCCTCCTGTTTTCAGCCTCCCAAGCACTGGGATGACAGGCGCGCTACCACACCCAGTTTCAGTGGCTGTCTCAGGGTGCTTCAGGGGTGGGGCTGGCACGCCAGAGATCGAGCCCTGGCCAGTGAGCTCTGCCTAAGCAGGCCCTGTAGTCCTCTGCGCTATCTGGCTGGCCCTTTCCTTTATTTTCTTTGCGTGTGTGTGCAGGGTCTCACTATGCAGCTCAGACTCAGTGGTCCTCCTGATTCGTGCTTCCCTAGTGCAAGGCTGTTCTTGACACCCGAGCGCAGGGGATCCTGTTCCATCCTCCTGCATAGCTGGGACGCAGTCCACTCCACTGTGCCTGGCTGTTTTTCTCCTCCAACTTGTTTTTCGTTCATTCTTCTTTCTGGAGTTTCCTGCCATGGAGGTATCTTTCCTGCTTAGGTCCGTTTCTTCCTGGCTTCTTGGTTTGTACCTAAGGAAGCAGTCAGGCTGAGAGTACTGAGAGGACGACTGGGGAGTGAGAGAGGGCCTAAGGGGCTGCAGGGGCACACCCAGGTCCCGCTGGGCGCCTGGCAGGGCGGGTGGCCCGGGGCGGGTGTGCTGGCGCTGGAGGCAGCCCTGGCACCCGCGCTCAGGACCCCCTTGCCTCACTCCAGGAGGAGCTGGAGTTCTGCGAGAAGCTGCTGCAGACCTGCTTCTCCAGCCCGACGGACGACAGCATGGACCGGTGAACCTCTCGCCTTCTCTCTGGGGAACCCAAGGCCACCTGCCTCTCTCCTTCCTTCCCATGATGCCCTTTCCTAGGGGATCACAGGGCCCTGTTGGGGCCTGAGCCTGGGATGTAACCACCCGTTTCCGGGCAGCCCCCCGGAGGGGACCCTGAGGATGGTGCTGGCTCCTGGGCCCTCCTGGCTCTCCTGCATCTCCCAACGTGTGTCTGCACTGTTCTTCCAATAAAGGTGTTTTTCTTCCTCCCCTCCACTGCCACCTTTGTCACCTTCTCCAGAGGGTGCCTTGGTGAGGGTAGGTGAGGCACAGACTTACGGGCTTTGGGGAGCCACTGCAGAGACAATAAAAGTGTTCTCCGTATCATCACAAAGCTGCTGTCTCTTTCAGCTTCAGACTCTTGCGCGTGTGGGGAGCATCTGTCTTTTCTCAGTACAAGTATCCCTAATTTCTCAAAGTTTGATTGGAGGTCCTAAGGTAGAAACCACTTTCCCAGCATCCCTTGCAGTGGGGGCACCCATGTGACTTCCCCTCCACCAATCAGTCCATGGGGAAGTCTGGCTGGGGCTGGTGATGGAAGGTGTACCCTGGGAGTATTCTGGCCAGGCCAAGAGCCCACACGCCTGACTTAAAGGCTGAGGGCAGAGATTCTGGTTGAGTGTCTGAGTTGGGTGCCATCGGTGGTTATGGCTGTGTTCCAAGAGCAGGCTTATGACTGGGTGCGGGCTTAATTGTGACTGCAAAGTTTCAAGCTTGACTCTGGAAACCTCTGAGATCACAGAGGGGGACTTCCACAACTTCAGGCAGTCATCCAGCCTCAGCCTGAATGCTGGGATGACAGGCGTGTGTCACCACATGTTCCTTTTTAAAGGCAGTTTTGTGATTTGTAATCGAGTGCTGATAGATGCTAGTTTTTTGTTTGGGTGGTACTGGGGATTAAGCCCAGGGTTTGCGCTGGCCACCTGCCCAGCCCTTGCTTTGAGACAGAATCTCACCAAGTCTTCAAGGTGCCCGCCAAGGGCTGATTCTGGTTTTTAAGAGAGGAAGCTAAACTTAGGCAGCTAATGCCTGGATAAGTGCAATCTTCGGGCTATAGCCCGATCTCCGGGGCTAGTCCCGAAGCTATGCTGCTCCTGTGTCCTGGGATACCCTGGGGCCAGGCTCATCCCTTTTGTGGGTTGGCATCTCTAGACACCTGGCATTCTTCACTTGATCCCAGATTCAAGACCCACCCAGAAGCAGCTGTAGGGTCTGAGCTTGAATGCCACAGTTATGACTGTTAGCACTAGCCGAGAGGGATTTCAGCCTTGCTGAGCAGAGATGACCTGCCTGGAAAGGGTGGAGAGTTCAGGCTGGAGAACTAGACGTTCCTTCTTGTAGAAGTGTGCAGTGTGCAAAGTCTTCCTACATTGTACTTTTTCTTGCTTTTGAGCTATGTAGTTGAGGCTGGCTTCGAACCCACTCTGTAGCCCAGGCTGGCCTCAAGCTTCTCAGCCTTCCAAGAGCTAGGATTACAGTCGTGCACCCCCACTGTGCACTTTTTTTTTTTTTTTTTTGGTGGTACCGGGGATTGAACTCGGGGCTTTGGGCTTGCCAGGCAGGCGCTTATTCTACTGAGCTATCTCCCCGGGCCCCACTGTGCACTTTTGAGAAGTCCCAGTTTTAATCAGCAACAGCAGCATGTGTGATTTCTCAGGGTGAAGAGCCAGCTGTCAGTCCTTGCAGCACTCACAGCTTTCCATATCCTGGAGAACTCTGCCTTCTCTGGTTCCATTTGATTGTTGAGTAGACCACCCTCCTGCCTCTCAGGTCGAGACTGCTCAGTGTGGCAAGAGGAAGGTGCTGGTGGCACTTGCCTGTCATGTCAGCACTCTGGGCGGCTGAGGCAGAAGAATCACAAGAAGTTCAAGTCCAGCATGGGCAATTTAGGGACTTGGGGCAGGGATGCCGTGGCACTGCAGGGGAGAGCATGGAAGCCACGTGCTATATAAACAGATGGCCCGAGATAAGAGCCCTGTGTCACTCATGGATGACCTAAGTGTCCACGTGATTGCCCAGGGATGCCCAGAGAGCTCGTAAAGTGTGATTTCTGCATGTGTCTATGTGGGTGTTTTGGGAAGAGGTTAGTATTTGATTAGTAACTGAGTGAAGCTCTGTCCGCATCATTGTGGATGGGCATCGCGGAGGAGCCACAGAACAGGAAGTGGAGGCAGACTTAGTGAGCTGGATGCCCGTCTTCTACCTTGGACCTCGGTGCTCCCGTCCTGGGTATCTGGGTCAGACCAGGCCTTGCACCATCACGTCTCTGACTCTGCCCTTCGGGTGTGGACCTGGTCACACCACTTCCTGGGCCTTGTGGGACTTTACAGCCTCCACGCTGTGTAGACCGATTCTCATAATAAACCACTCTAGGCATCTGTGAATGTCCTGTTGGTTCTGTGTCTCTGGAGAAACCTCACTGAAATCCTCACAGTGGCCTCAAGCTCTGAAGTGTACGGAACCTGAGTCTACTTTGTGGTGAGACCTCAAAGATGACAAGGGAAGACTGGCAAACCCCAGCAGAGGAGCCACGGACCTTGGCAGACTAGACTGTGGAGTCTCAAATATTGGTCCATACAGTGTTCCTGAGTGCTGCCAGCCCTCCTCTTCTGTCTCTGCCAGGTAAATGACTTGTCTGGCTAGGGTGCTTGGAACTGGTGCACCTGCCCTGGGTGGTGGCCTCACCACGTGACCTGCTTTGGCCAACGGATGGGGCAGATGAGTATGTGAGGCGCCAGTGGAACCACCTCACCCAGCCTTCAAGCTGTGAGCATGCTGCCAGACCCCAAGGTGATGTGTCACGCAGCACTAGCTAGCTGACACAAGGGCCACCTGACACCATGTGCAACACTAGAAGCAGCAGGAGCCACCGGGCTGAAAAAAGCCCACATTACTAAGGTGTGGATCAGTGAATACAACTGGACTGGACTACCATTAAGGCCGCCAAGGAGAAGCCAACAGTAGCAAAGGACAAATGCTAGTTGGCATTTTGAACTAGGGAAGAAGTTGGGCAGGCTGGTGCACACCTGTAATCCGGCACTCTGGGAGGTTGATTGCAAGTTCTGAGTCCGGGCTGAGCAATTTAGACGTAGACCCTACCTCAAATAGGGCTGGGGATGTAGCTTAGTGCACAGGCGAGCCCCCCGCCCCAGGGTGGGCAATAACTAGAACAGTACACTCAAATATTGGTCCATACAGAGTTCCTGAGTGAAAAACCGACCTGCAGCCCAGGAAGGTTCAGGGCATGCATCCCGTTCCTACAGAGCGCCCCTGCACCGCGCAGGGAGCGGCTCGGGACCACGTGGGCCGAATAACGGCGAGGTCCAGCAGAACCCTGCCAGTGACGTCGCTCGCGGAGGTTTTCCGCAGCAACCGGTGACAGTGACAAGGCTGGCACGCAGGGCGGGGGGAGGGGGCGGAGATCACCCCAGGTGCGGAGGCGACGTGGGGGGGCCGCGCAGCCACAGCTCCCTCGCGAGGCGAGGCGGAAGTCGGGACGGCTTTCTCCTTGTACCGAGGGCAAAGCCGAACGAGGACTTTAGGAGCGTCAGGGAGCCCCGAGCCCCGAAGCCGACCACAAACTCCGCACCAGGAAGTGTCCCGGGCTGCGGCGCCGAGGGGCGGGGACTCGGGTGCAGTGGCGCCTGCGCACTGGTCCGTCTGGGTTTCTTCGGGGAGAGACCGTTGGCACCAACGGCCCGAGGCGGCCAGGGAGTGGGCGGGGTCAGGGGCGCCGGGCCCCAAGGCGCACGCGCACTGCGCACCGCGCCGGCCGCGGGGGCGGGGCTTTTGCGTCCGCCCGCGCGCGGGGCATTGTGGGATAGTGGCGGAGCGAGCCCTGCGTTGGGCCCTGAGGCGGACTGCGGGGCCGGAGAGCGGGCTACTTCGGGGAAGGCGGCGGCTAAGGAGGCAGGCCTTGGCCTCGGTCGCCCGAGACGCAGCTCTGAGAGCCGGGCGGCCTGAACAGGCGGACGTCTTCCCGGCCTGCGGACGCCGTCGGCTGGGGAGCCCCGGGCGACATCCCCGTCCCTGCCCGCGGAGGCGCCTGTGCGGCCTCGAGGCCGCCTC